TTTTTGTGTAAACTTCGAAACAAATGATATAATGGATTTTACTCTAGCGTTGACTCACCCTGTACAGATATTATATGCATGGTGAAATAGGGATAAATTTACAAAACTATTGCAAGTAAACAACAATAAGGAAAGGCAGATCAATAACAAAAAATGTAAACTATCCGTGGAATATAAATGTCAGATACACCCATAATATGGTGTCAACGATCGTGTGTTCTTTTTAATATTGGATTGTCGGTATTTGCAATCACCTTGGCATGCTTTACAGGGTACTACTATAACAGAACCGAAGCGCAATACTAATTAACGGATCAAACTGGGTACGATATTTCTGTTTGTTGTTGAATATTTTTTTAAGTCGTCCTAGATTTTTTCCGATCTAACACCTCAAATCTGATCAATTATAGCTAATTTATTGAATTATTAGCGTCTTCAGTGAGAGCTAAAAATGATTCATTTTGTGGAATCGGTTTGTTTAGCCTCAATTTAGTCCAGATTTTCTCCCTCGATAATTATTTGATACGGTTATACTTCGATAGCAGAAAGGTATTGATTTGGGTTAATATTTTTCTCAGAAAGACATTTAAAGAGAAAGTTTAAGTTATATTGACAAATTTTTTTATTATGTATAATAAAAATATTAAGTATATTTCGAACTATATCGTGCTGTCTAAAATATTTTTTAATATTTTTAACATATCACGTGTTTTCCAATATACATAAGTTTAGCTCAAGCTTAAATTAACCTTCACTAACATCATTTGTAAATTAAAAATCAGTTTTTTGAGTTTTATGTTATTTTTATACCGTTGATTGAAAGAATTGGGAAGATTGCATTTTAATGGGCAAATTTGTGATAAGGCTGATTTGATTTCCCCTTACGACTCAAATGCTGTACGGTGGAGCCTCTACTCGTTCTGCGGCCAACGCATAAAATACTCATTTTCTCTAATTCAGCTAGCGAAGGCATATCGAAGACTGTCGTGTGCGACTGAAAGCGACAGTTTACCATATTAAAATGTGTAATATCTGTAATACGTTTGAAAAAATATCTTTGAATGAAAAGTCCGCGTTTATGTAGTGAAAATTTATTCGTGTTAAACATAGAATAAACAACTGAATATGAGTATGATCGAAAAAAGTCGTTTAGTTGGCTTGGAAATGACGATTATTGAGATTTACCATAACATTTTACGTTCATATTATGTTATTTCATAATAACAGCGATCTTCATTTCCAAGCTAACTCTGACTCCAATATGTTATATACAGGGTGTAATTTTTTCTCGGCAGCATATTTTTCTGATAAAAATAAGTAAAAAAGTTCATATAAATGTATGCCCTAAAATGCTTAGTTTCGGAGATACAGGGTGTATAAATTTCATTTTTATTTCGATTTTTTGCAAATAATTTCTGAAGTAACGTCAATATTTGGATGAAAATTGGTGCCTAGGAGGTTATTGACGCTAGAAATTTGATTTTGATGAATATGATTCCTATTTGTAGGGGGCGCCACTTACATGTGTTTTAACTGTTTTGAAGAGTAATAACTTTTTTTCCGTACTTGTACAAAACTACTGAGTGAAAAAATATACATTTCCGTGATTTTCTACGTAACAATGTCTCTTGGTAAAAATCTCTACGAGCAACCGTTCTCGAGATATTTAAAATGGAAAGAGTCAATACATGTCATTATTGACTAAAAATAAATATGTTGAGTAGATAGTTATTCAACTGAAATGAGAAATTTAGACACTTCTTATTTTCCATCATAAGTTTTGTATCGAAAAAAATTAAACGAATCATGAATTCCATATTATCATGAATTTCTAAGAAATTCATGTTAATATGGCAACATAAGTATCAGATTAAATTTACATGAAAGAAAATCCAGAAAAGATCCAGTGGTTGTCAAAATTTTAGCAAAAAATCATTTTTTTTTAATTTTCAAAGTAAAATAACTCTGTTATTTTGGACTTATTTGAAAAACGATAAGGAGAAAACATGTTTCTTTTATCGAGATCTACCATCCCTTAAAATACTTGCACTTATTTCTAGGACACCCTGTATAGGGTGCAAAAACTACGTTACTTGTAGGTATCTTTACCGCCAATATTTTACTAAATTTATCCCCCAACTAATATTTGTCCAATGAGAAAATCTGCTACTGTATCGAAATCAGAATCTGTCCAATAAGTGACATCTGTTTCTGTTTTTTTTTAATTCACAGGTATCTTGAAATTTTTATCATTTTTTTGGATGTCGTCTGCCGAAATCTTTATTGCCTCGTTGGACAAGTTTTAATCACATTCGAATCACATAATATAATAAAATATCAACTAAAACTTTCAATAAATTAATAGTAAATCATTTAAATAAATATTCCAATTAATTATAGTGTAACATCCGCTAGTTTCACAGAGAAAAATCTAAACTTAAAATTTAATCTACCGATTATCTTTGCGATATTTCTGTTTCTGTGAATATTAATTTAAATGCTCTAAGTTCCGTAATAAAAGTTAGTATTTAGTATGTGTGCTTATATATTAAAGTATTCAATATTAATGGAAGATTCCTGCTTGCTTAATAATAACTACTTCGCATTGGAAGTAAAAGTCTTCTAATCCAAAACTAAAGGAAATACCAGTCTAAATCTAATTAGTACTATATTGAAAATTGAAGAATTAGAAAGTGAATGATGATATTTTCTATTGTATATCTGTATTGATGCGGTTGCTGTTAGTAATGATTATTTTTTCTGCAGTAAAATACAAAACAATATTTTTCTCGTTATTGTTAACGATGAATCTTTTAAAGTGTAGAAACTATTTATAGAATATTTCTGCGAAATGCAATTATATAAATACTAGGGGAAGCTTGAATTGATAAATAATTACACAATTTCATTGAGCAAAACCGCTAAAATTAATAAGTTAAGAGAAATAAATCTTTAGACAACTGATAACCAATTAATAAAATAAAGAAACAGAAAAACAGAAGTAATAGAAAACTACAGATAATTAATATCTTTACAACAAGAAATTAATCTAAAAAAATAAAAATAATATGCTCTTTATATTACCGAGTTAGCAAAAGAAATGTCTTTCGTAACGTATTAATAATTCATATTATATTGATAAAAACTATCAATAAACATTGAGAATAACTTTAAAATAAATCATATATACCTATAAATGAATCAGAACTCCTTTTATAGCATCAAGCTCATTTTAATAGATTATTACTAATCATTATTAAAACTAAAAATAAATGTACTTTAGTGCGGCAATAGAAACATAATACAATAGAAATTTAATGTTAATGTTTTTCATTTATTATTTTCAATCAATCAGTCTTAAAATAACAAAAGAGCTCTGTAAACAAAATGAATCGTATGTTCAGAAGAGTACACAGGCTATCTAATCCGATTAACACCACAAAAGGGTTGCGACAAGTATGCATTAATATCCTCTAATCTTCATCACAAATTGAAGTAGCCTTTAAGGAACGGAAAAGAAGATTTCAAGGTATGAGAAATCCGCTGAAATCCATATCCATATATAAAGATCCCAATTGGGGACGATACACTCTCTTAGCCTGAGCTTTGCAGACAATCAAGTCGTGATTGCGCAGGACTCATATGATCTGGAGAACTAAGAAACTCCAAACATTATCTAACCTGCAGCATTCGAGATCTAGTATATAAACTTACTGAAAGAAACTACAATGTTAACTTTATGTGGATCTGACTTTATGTGGATATCTGACATTGCTGGTAACAACCAGAGCAGACAACTAGACTGGTTAACGACGCAACGCTCTAACAGAAAATTGAAGGAACTCCATCCGCTGTCGAGTTCAGAAATTACAAAAAAGTGTTCTTCAGTATATTTCAAAATGAATTGGAGATCCTCGAGGGAACTAATAAACTTAGATCACATACCTATGCCGCTTCTTCATCTGTATCAAAATATACATTCTCTTGAACGCGGATCTTTCTGTAAAGTTGTTAGAGGGCGCGTAATCGAGGGCGCGATTTTTAAATCCATTGTTGCCAACCATGGACATATTCAACGCCGTGCTGACGAACTTAAATTTAAACCGCGCTACGGATTCAGGTGGTAGATCTGCTTTAAAAAATGTCAAGTTGCTGCATTTATTTATTTATTTCCTGACATTGTCATTTGTTTTGACACTTTAGTTTTGTATTAGGAGTTTTTAGTTTAAATAAATAGTGATGTGATACTTTAAGCTTAAACTTTACTAGCAGACCTTGCAGTCGAACATTGTTCTTTTTAGAACCTCTTTTAGTGCAAAATGTACGAGATAGCTTAATAGCTGTAAAAAACTCATCGCAACTTTATTATAATATTTTGAACGGGAAAGCGGTAGTAATGGTCCTTTATGCCCTTTAAGTGCTGTCAAGAAAGTGAGTTTTGTTGATGTAAATAATAACTGTTTATATATTTATAATTAATTTATTTTTGTTTCCTAGAATATTTTGATTAAAAGAAAAGATATAAAAGTGGGCAACGCTGTGCCGGTCAAGCTTAATCACGCGACTACCAGTTTATTTGGTATGAACTGTAATGATTACCTTTACTTTTATTGTCTTCCGCTTTAAGAAAATCCACATGAGACGAGTGATATACAGAAACCAGTTCATATTACCCCACCGTCCCCTATAACCTTAAACGAGGAACTAAAACGACCTAGCGCGAATATTTCCGCTTCAATCGCTTTCTTTACCCTAGATTAAAGCCTGGGCATACTTCCTCGCCATCATATTATATTATAATAAACAGCATTAAAACGATTATTAAATCCATATAATATGTATTCGGTCATCGAAATGAAAATGATTTAACTTTCTTTTTTGCCAAGATCTTATCTATATCTCATGACCAAAACGTCCACAACAAAAACAAAGTTATGTGGTACAGTTTAAAAATGCAACCTGTATGCATAACAAAATGTTGGGTAAAATTAGTTGAATACCTTTATGTGCCTGTCAATGAGCCAGTTGAGTTCAATATCGTCGTCATCTTCACCGAATGGATTGATTAGTACCTCGGCAACTTTCAACCAGCCAATATAGAAACAGAACTACAAAAGAAAAATATATTAGGTATTTCATCTAGTATTTATAGTAAATTATTAAATAAAAGTTATGTCGTTCAGCACCATAGGTTTTAAAGCTGCCCTCAGACCACTGTGAATTCAAGCAGGATACTATGCGTTAAACGAGTCGTGATACTTTTCGTGCATTTGCTTTAAAAACGAGTATTGACGAACACACGCTATGCATCCTATTCATATCTAATGCGTTGATGCATAGTACGTAGATAGTACGTTTATGTATGGAAATTCTTCCACTTGCGACCATAAAATTTCAGTCACTGAAATGGATTTAAAAGAGTCTTTAGCAGGCTGCAGCACATGCCGGTTCATTTTTGTTTTGTTAGAAATGTTAAAAATCTAAAAAACTCAGGGATAGGAAGAAGTGGAATTGCATGGGCCTCCTCGATCACCTAACCTATCCATTTTAGTTATTTTTTATATTTTTATGCGATACGGCATCGCAACCAACCAAACCAAACCAAACAACCAAACCAAACAACAAGGTTTATAAAAGAACCTATGAATTAAGAGAGGCACTCGAAGAGGCGATACGGTAGAAGTTTAATTAACCGGACCGGTCGTTCTGTGAGAATAGCTAGTAATTTAGTTTTAAAATTATTTATGTACTCAAATACTCTAAAATAACTTAAAGTGTATGTAATGATATTATTTTTTCAAGTTTTAGTTTGTGTAATGTAAAGAACCGTTTAATAATATATTCTGCCTTTTTATAAGTTATAAATCATAACAGAATAAGAATAACATGCCAACTAAGTGAAAATAGTCAAAGACAAGAATTGGCTATAACTAACTAATTGGCTATAAACTAAAGTAATTATTCGAAAAAAAACATATTATAGCTTATATCGCTGAAAAACTTAAAATATGGCGTTTTTTATGAAGTCATTGCCAACTATGGTTTCCATTTAAAAAAAAACATATGTTTGTGTCATATGTCAAAAATGACAGGCTTTAGAAACAAATGGGAGAAACAGAAACTCATTAAGGACGCAAACTCATTAGGGATGTGATTATCTACAAATTTATCTGAAAACTATTTGTCTAAAATAGATTACAATGGAATTAAGGAAAAATTTTAAAATAGCCAAAATTGGATTTTTTTTAAATATCTAGTAAGCCATAAACTTTTTCAAAAATCTGAAAGGCGCATATTTATGACCCCACAAAACTGTAATTCTTTCCCTTACTCTCTATCTCCAGTGGGTTTCCGAGATACTCGTAGAGAACATCGTAGAAAACTCCCAAGTAGCATCTATCTGACTTCGAACTAAATCTGACCTGAAGCGACGTCAGACTTTGTCCAAATTTAGGTCGGGTGCTGGTGATACGACCGGTGACGTCGCTTTCCTATTAAAAGCGACGTCGTTGGATCCGAGTCGGTAAATCCAACGATCTGTCGACGTACAAAATAACAACGTACCATTTTTATTAATTTCCCAACGTCGTTCCCACGTTGGCTTGCACGACGTACATATACTTGAACTAGCCCGACGTCTACCCGTTGTCCGAATAGGATACGTCACATTGATAATCCCTAAAGTAACGTCCAATTATATTTTTTTGTATTTTATGTTCATATTTATAACCTAATTTACGTATCTCTATTTACGTGCGTAAATACAGCCCATTAAGTAGTATTTGCGACCTAATGAACATCATGAATATAACCTAATAAAAACTTTGTACAAAAGTAAACATACTTAATTTACGCCTAAAAAACACTAAAAAGGCATTTAAACATTCATCTACATTTTACAGAAAGAGGTCGAGGCTTTTGCAAAATAATAATAGTAGTAGTGATGTCTTGCCTCCATCCATAAATGCTTTTTATCCGGAAGAGATGCTGCATTACACCCATCCTCCTCCCACATGTGAGGTTAGGCTTAAAAAAGTGGCTGCCCATTTTTTTAAGGAGAAAACAAAAACTAAAATATAGTTGCACAAATCCACAAATCACTGATACGCAAAGTGAGGTTACGTGGAGTACGTTGGAATTATATACGTCATAATACGATTGCCGGTCGTCCGGTTTGATGACTTCGGTCGTGTGAGACGACTAATGTTGGAGACCCGGTCGGAATTGGTATATTGGTAGTTCATATTAAGTCGGACACAGAAATCCGCCATTCTTAACAAGTATCAGATAGTCAGCCATTTTAAAATCGTTTTTTGTTTTTAAAATTTATATTTACATTTCGATTTCTAGTAGAATAATATTGATAAGGTTCAGTTTGGGGAGAACCACAGTACAGTTTTATGATTAAACCAGCTAGAAAATTAAAAAAATATTTTGCGAGTTACTTTTTTATAGATATTTTTATTTCATAAATCTACCTAATTTTGAAGGGGCTCGTTGTTTTCCGGAGTATTTTAATCAGATATATCAAAAAAGTGACTTCCGTTGACAAAACTGATGTCTGGATTAATGATTCAGAATTATTATAATATGAAATTAGGTAGGCACTTATAGTTATATTCGAGGAGTGATTATGAATCCATTTGTAATTAGGTAGTTTGGTAAGGTTTTTATGTGTTCTTGGTAGCGAATATGAAACCAAATGTAACGTAAGTGCTTAGCGACGAATTTTAAGTGACTAAAATCCAACGTAATATGACGTTGGTAATTGGTAGAATTACATTCCCTATTAGGTCAGATACCGACGTCGAGGCGACCCGAATCTGTATTCCCCAATTAGGTGCAAATAAGGGTCGTCAGGCGGTCGAACCGACGTTTGTACCCGACGTCGGATTTATTGAACGCGACGTATACCCGACGTTAGATAACGTCCAAATGCTACTTGGGCTCGCCCTGTATAAATCTTTTGCATTTGCAAAATCTATATTTCTCTTCGCAAAATGGTATCATGGTATTAATGCGTTTTTATTATATTAATTTGCATGATTATAAATTACCTGTAATGCAGTAAAAAACGGAAAATACATGTCCGGTTCCTCATATTTTCCCTTCATGGTGGCATCAGTTATTGGAATTAGCTGTTTTCCTAACAATGCAGCTATAAAGTAGAAATAAAGAGCCAGCGATACTACCTAAAAATAATAAATATTACAAAATTAGATCTACATCTACAAAACTAATTTTAGATTATTAATGAGAATGTTTTTTGGTGGCGTATGACACAAATATAGCAATCTAATACAAAATATATGTTTTTATAAACAACTCATAGAATTAGTCAGAACATTTGTTTCAACTTTGTTCGTAAAATATATCTAGACTTGTTTCAGACGAAATCCCCCAAAATAGCAAATTTCTCTAAACAAGTTCTCTACCTGCTACCAATGAATGTATCTTTAATCTTTAAATTCGGAGATGGGCGTTATGGAGATTAGATCAGATAAAAACCGACTGGCAGGCAAAACTTCGTTTTCAATCTTGTTAACTTAGTGAGCTGAAGGATAAAACTTTATTTTGAAGCCACATTCAATCACTTCTAATCAATTTCCAATATATTTGCACTTTAAAGTATGTCCAAGGATTGTTTTAACAAGGTTAAAAACTTTTTTATTTTTGACATTTTGAGAAAAATACATTTTTCATAAAAAAATTGCTTCTTCTAATAATCATTTTAAAGACCCAAACCAAAAAAGGTTTAGAGACCAAAAGAAAATTAAAAAAAACATGAAATATTATTTCTACGTTATAAAAATTAAAACGCGTTTGTATGGTAATATAATTCCGTTTTCATTCTTGAATAGATTGTAATTGAGAGAATTTTAATTAACGTCATATTTTTTCTTTTTTAAAATGTTTGCACAATATTGTTTTAATTCAGAGCTACGGAAAGGGTAATAATAGTTATCGGAAAATGATGATATTTTAAACACAGCAAAAATATGACGTTAATCAAAATTAATAATAACCATAAATGTATCAAAGAAAGAAATTGAAATTATATTACCATAGAAGCGCCTTTTGATTTTTAGAACTTCAACAAATTCAACCATACTTTCATGTTTTTTTTCCATCTTCTCTAAAACGGCATGGAAATTTGAAATCGTATAAACAGGATTAACCATTAAAGAACACGGAACATTTCGCCTGTATACAAGAAAACAGGCATAACTCAAAATTACCGGTTTAACAGGAGAAAAAAAGGTAAAGTTAAAAAGTTTTTCTTAAGTTTCTGTAGATGGTTTAAATTTTTTGGTTTCACCAGTTATATTTCTGATAAAAATACATATTCATTGGACTCTTTGAATAAGAAGACTAAGGAAGGAGCATAATGCTATCCATGTATTCATGCATGGTGGGCGGAAAAAGCGCCATAAAAGCACTCTAGGGTGGGGATCCTTGACAGTTCTGTTTGACGATTCATTTGACACATTTGAATTTGATTTGAAATTTTGTGGATTTGTCAGTCTTTACGGAGCTTATTTTATGTTATTTATTATTTATTCTACTACTGATAGTTGTATAAAGGTAGTAAATCTAAATGGAAATTGTGGCAGCACTTAAATTAACAGTGACACTATCGCGATTTATCGAAAAAGACTCTAAAATAGTTGGTTGTGTAGCGTGCGGTAGATCTCGGTAAAAATTGAGTGAAATAATGGAACAACCTTTCGCTAGTAAGTGACTATATAATATACATACGTGTAGTAAACCGATCATTTATGAAATTCACTTAAATTAACTAAATTATATATTTTTCTTGCATTTTAGCTTTTATTTATTACTTGTCAAAGATTAGATGTCACAGAATTTAGATACGTTAATTTGACTTACCAGCTTCAGTAGCGTATTGGATGTTTGTGGTAATAAATACTTATTATAACTTATCTATTTTTATTAGAATATTTTTTAACAATTTTAATAACTTCACCAACATTTATTTTTTTTTTTCAACGTAAAATAAAACAATGGAAATTATTGAAATCTATAAACAGGTCTACACTACATCATAGTTTTTCGCCTTTTTAAAGAAAATTAGAACGACACTGATAAACCGGTTTAACAGGAAAAAAAATTAATTTAAAGGCCCATCTTAAGGTGTCTGTAGATGGTTTGAATATTTGCTCACCAGTTATATTTCTGATAAAAATCATATTCATTGGACTCGTTTTATATCAAAATTGATGAAAGTAACTTTTTTGAGTTGTGTCACTTTTCTTGTGTACAGGCGATTTTATATGAAGAATGCATTTTTTTCAAAATGTCAATATTAAAAAAAATATCCTCTTGTAAAGACAATCCGGGGACATACTGTATTCAATTATATGTATATACAATGTAGATAAAAACAAATAATCAATAAATTGATTTAAAGCAATCTATACGTATTAGTGAATAATAAAAACACTGTGTTAATTAGAATTAAGTGCATTTTTTTAAACTAAATCTATCTATCTGTGGTCTGCTCTCTGAATTATAACTTGCTTTTAGTATGTTAAAATAGTCACTCCCATATCTGGCATGTATTAAACTACAATATGATTGAAAAAAACGACGTCAGCGATCGCTGTCATTTTACATCTAAAATTGTATGGAGTCATCGATGCCATCGATCGTCATTTCCCACCGAACTGTACGCAGTTTTTTTCGATCGTACGGTATAATATCAATCCAAATTTCGGTACATATTGAGTTCTCAGATCGTAACAACAGGGTGTGTTACTACACCCTATCATCCGATAATGGTGCCGTTTTACGATATACTTTTGTAGAGTTAGGTCACTCTACCCCGTAGAGGTGTGTGGGCACCACGATTAGAGTTATTATATCTTCCTATTCCGTGGTGCCCGGTGGCGTAGAGGTACAGGCTCTCGTCTACCAATCTCAAGGTTGTGGGTTCGAATCCTACACGCGGCATTTCATCGGCCACTATTTTTATTAAAATAAAAATAGTTTGGGTACCTAGGTCGACTCAGCCTTAAATGAGTACTTGGGATTCACAATCCTGAGGTAATAATAGACGGTTGAAGCGTAGTGCTAGCCACATTACCTTCCTTGTATACCGAAACGGCTCTAGCATGGCAAGCTGTACCTTGCTACTCCCAAGGCGTTAAACGCTATACCTATACGGGAGCTAATTATATCTTCCTATTCATTAATAGTATATTTATATTAGACCTAAAATAGCCGAATAGAAGAAAAAATTATAAAGTTTTGATATGTTGAGATTAGACGCACCAAAAGGAGACTTTTCAAAATCAAAAGAGTTCTTAACTTATGAACTTCACCCCAAAAAACCACCCCCAATACGCACTTTAATGGTTTTTCGCTTTTTTCTGAAAACCCGTTGGTCCCAAAAAAATTTTTATACTTACCGAAAATATTCCCTATAGAATTTTCTACAAAAAAAGTTCTATTCATTATTTATATTTATCCAATGCATTTCGAGCAATAACCGTTTGAATAATGGAGTACAAAAAAAATACAGGTCGCCTTTCAAATTAGTCTTCCAAGGTATTTTAACGTGCTAAATATACACGCAACAGATATAATACTGTATAATATAAAGAAAAACATTGCCTATTCCACTAAACTAAAATTCATACTTTCATCTACATATTGTCATCGTCTATAGTTTCTAGAATGTGCTCAGTATTCGAACAACTTTGCCCACGACAGGTTCCGCACATAGTTGTACATTTCATGCCGGCTTTAATGCAACTGCATTTTTTTACACAATCTTGTTTGCAGTTGCACGTTATTAATGACATAATTGAAGCAGGGGCGGGCGATTCTGTTGCATATAAAGGTGACAGGGTGTTGTTGATTTTCTTCCAGCCCCACTGGTCGGGTTTTATAGGTTGTTCTTGTCATATTTGTACTTGAAGATATGTTCTTCGAGAATGTTGCCTAGCTGCAGCAGATGTAGGAGGCAATTTTTAAAAAAAGTACCGTGCTGTTTGCTTGACCAACTAACTTATTGAAACAAGCTTATCTTTGCTCACTAAGGCTCCCCTCAGATGATTGAAGTCTGTATAGTTTCAGTATAAACGTCTCTCCAGCTTTTTCAATTTCTTCGGGTGTTAACTTTGCGTTGTTAAAAATATCGACGATACTATCAATGTCTTTTTCTTTATTAAATATTTGTACGTCTGTTGTTTTTCATTTACAAAAAATCCTGATGTTGTGTCACACCCGCTAATAACGTGAATAAATAAAATTGATTTTTTTTAAAATTACGTATACTACTGGATGATTGCAAGTCTCTCGAACTATACATTTGTTGTTTCACATTACCTATATGGCTTCTTTCAGAAAAAGGATGTCTTTTTCATCGGGGGAAAGTGCTGCTAATAAAACAACAAGATCGACATCTTGTCCAACGACTAGAACTTGTTCATTTTTCTCATATTTTGATGGCAGTACGAATAATTTGAACATCAGCATCATCTATTGCAAATGATGTGCTAATATTCTCGCTGTTTAGGTGTACTGCAAGCTGCGAAATTAGTCGTTCTTTATATTTAATATTGTCTAGGAATTTGCTTTTCTGTTCGACCAATAAGGTATTGCTATCAAAAACAATGTCGCGACTAAAAAAAATATACTAATTTTCTTAAAGACTAGGGGACTAAGACAACAAAAATTAATAGGAACTAATAATAGGAACTTACAATACTAGATCAATGATCAACGATGAAAACATTAACGAACTGGAGGAAGAGCTGTCAAAAAAATAGAACTGTAGGCCTGTCAGAAACTCGACGAAAATTAGAAAACCGAATAAAACTAAATTTCAGTGATATGATTAGCCTATCTTTTACACGTCTACGTTCCTAATAGCGTTATTTCAAGGAAAGTTAATTTCAATTTATTTGCAACTAAACTGGTTTTTAGAACGTAGGCGACATTACAAGAATCAGCAAAATTTCTAATACTTAATTCAGTTTTAATTACTGATAATTGACAAAGCAATAATAATGTGAATATTTTTAAATCAAAATTCCAATAATAATTTAATTATTTAGTAAACTTAGACTAGCAAAAAAAGCAAAAACTTTTATTTCACAAGCATTAATTAAATTTAATAAGGTAAAAACACCCATGTAAACGACACTTAAAAAACGTTCAACGG